GCTTGCCTTTCCGTTTGAACGGCTCAGTAAAGATTACGACAGGCGTGCTGGCCTAAAGGTCATTGTATTCTTACCCAGTAAAGTTGAGGTGCCAATTGACGGTGCCGTTTCGTTTTTGTTTTTCCGGTCGATTGCAAGATCATGGTGTTCGGCCGTTCTATTTTCTGTTCCTAAACAGGACCGCGATCGCGCTGAAACAATTCCTGGCTGGCATGGCTCTTTAAAGTGGTATGGTACCCTAAAATGGACGAAAAAGTTTGTTTAAATATGGTGAAGAAAGATCAATTGCGTGCTGTTGCACTCAAGAAGAGAAATTACATTTTGAAAGTTTTACTCTAAATGGTTGCTATGGAAACCAGCCACAGCCTTTTGAGGTAGTGATTTACAGTATTGACGCCAACACTTCCTGCTCTTTTACAAAACAAGATTTGACTGTCAAATAAGCATGTCGTGTAAGTTTCTGTAAACATTGTTTCCAGCGTCAATTTTTGTTTTCAAAAACAAAATATGTTTCTGCTACTCTGCAGAAACATTCTTTGTTCCCGTCCGGCATTGAACGTTTCGCGGTTTTGCCACGACCGGCAACATTCGTTACTTGGCAACCATCGCTCGCTCGTTCCCAGGTAAAAGCTAATCCGCAGTTGGGAACAAATGACTGGAAATAAGGCGTTCAATTTTTTTTTTTTTTTTTTTTTTTTCATGCAGTGTACATTTTAATCAGATTTAATTACAGAATAGAGAAGTCGAGTGAAAATAAAACAATATATCTTTAAATTACTGTATAAATCGGAACGTAACGTAATGTGAAAAAGCAGCAGGGAGAAGTCCAAGAACTGTGAACTGTACAGGTTTTTTAAAGAGAACAATGTCGGGCTTCTGGGTTTTACATTTTCAAAGTTCATGCATCAAGTTTAAGTGGAACAATACATTTCTTAATTTCGTATAAACCACACAGCTGCTTCAAAGTAAATTTAACGTTTTGGACTACGGTTCACTGTCTGTTTTGGCTTGTCACGTATTGACAGACATGGTTCGAGTTATCGAGGGTAAAATTATAAAGAAAGTCACCTGAAGGGAAACGAAAATTGCTTCGAGTTAGCGGGAGGTTCGAGTTATCGAGGGTTCGAGTTACCTGGGGTAAAATTACAGTAAATATATGACGGAAATCCAGGGAAAATCGATTTTGGTTTCGAGTTAGCGGGAGGTTCGAGTTATCGAGGGTTCGAGTTACCTAGGGTAAAATTACAGTAAATATATGACGGAAATCCAGGGAAAATCGATTTTGGTTTCGAGTTAGCGCGAGGTTCGAGTTAGCGAGGGCTCGAGTTATCGGGTAAAGTCTGCATGCGAGCCAAGTGGCCCATCAGGCCGGAGCTTATCCCGGTTTCCATAGCATGAAGCGACTAGGAGTATTTCTACTCCCCCCTGGA